GGGTTCTCTCCTGGCTAGGACTGCCCAGGAGGAAGTTGGGAGGGCCAGGGCTTCTGGGTGTATACCTGGCTGTCCTGCACACTGGACAACACTGAGCCACACAGCATTGAGTCCTGTGCTCAGGAACAGAGTCACCTACTGCAGCTCAGGCGTCTGAGGGGGAACACTTCAGAAGCCTGGGGCCAGGACAGATGCTCGGTGTGTGCTGGTGGCCCTCGACTCTGAGAAACGCCGCCCACAGATCAGCAGGATGGGAGCCAAATAATAAATAGTCCACATTTTTTGGCGGCTCAGAGGCCGGGTTGGAAACAAGTCACTGTTTTATTGTGCAGAAAAACCACAGGCTTTTTCATCTGAGTGCCCGCCTGAGAAAAGGGTGGCTGCCAGCCAGGTGAGAAGGCTGGGTGGCAGGTCTGCCCCCACTTGCCGTAGGTGTCCCCTCCAGGCTAGCCCTGGCCCCCACCCAGGGTCAATCAGAGCCACTAATGCCAGGAGCCAGGTCCCAGAGTCTAAGATATGAGCATCTGGTGGTCCAGTTGGGCAAAGAACCTTCTAGAACCTTAAGTCTATAACAAGTCACCTGGCTAGACCGTCATAGGATGCTGGTTGCTCACGTCTGTAATCCTAGATACGCAGAAGACTGAGATCTGAGGATCATGGTTCAAAGCCAGCCCAGGCAAGGAACATCCATGAGACTCTTATCTCCAATTAACCACCAGAAATCTTGAAGTGGAGGTGGGCTCAAAGAGGCAGAGTGATAGCCTTGAGCGGAAGAGCTAGAGACAGTGCCCAGGCCCTGAGTTCAAGCCCTTGACCATTAAAAAAATTAATTAATTAAAAAAATTAAAAAGACCAAGCAAGCCAGGTACCGGAGGCTCACATCTGTAATTCTAGCTATTCAGGAGGCTGAGATCTGAGGATCATGGTTTGAGGCCAGACAGCAGATGACAAATCTGAAAGACCCATCTCCAATTAATCACCAAAAGAGAAGACCAGAGTAGAGCGGTCACTTAAGTGGTAGCCTTATGTGGAAAAAGCAAAGGAACATCACCCATGCCCTGGTATCCCTACAACAGAAGAGAAAAGCCTGAGCAAGTCCTCCCTGTGTGGAAATTCAAGGGGGACAATGGAAGGAGTTGTACCTTCAGCTGACCTCACCACCATCCCTCCTGCTCTGGTAATGGGACCCCTAAACCCGCCTGTGTCCAACCCTGAATGTACAACACAACTGACTAGGTAAGTGCCCAGCCCCAATTCCTATGCACCCAAAGCCATGGTAAAATGGTCAAGGTTGTATAGTAAGTTCATGCAAGGTCACAGGGAGGTCACCCAGGGTCATAGTGAGCTTGCCCAAGGTCATGCTGAGGCTACCCAGGATCATGATGGAATCAATCAAGGCCACAGTAAAGTAGCCCAAGGTCACAAAATGGTACCCAAGGTGAGTGGGGCCACCTAAGGAACAGCCCTGCCGAGTGGCAAAGCCCCAGCACAAAATGGGGCATCTCGTGACCTTGCTGCCACACCTGGGGCCAAGGAGACACCTACCTTCAGTACAGTCCCTTCCTCTCTGTGCCCAACAGCATCCTGTGATGTCCATTCAGGGTCTGACCCAGGATCTTTTTTGTTGTTGTTGGCAATGGGACTTAAATTCACTGTTTTCTTGCTCATGGCTGTTGCTCTACCACTTGAGTCATGCCTCCAATCCTGCTTTTTGCTGGTTAACTAGGACTTTTCTGCGCAGGCTGGCTTCAAACTCCAGTCCTCCAGGTCTCAGCCTCCTGTGTAGCTAGGATTACAGGAGTGAGCCACCCTGGCGGGATAACAGGATCATCTTTAAAACGGGAATTTTCTAGCAGAATGAAACTCCCTTCCCTACAGTCTGCAGAGAAGCGGATGCCTGTGGAGTCCACCCTGAGGCCTGCTAGGCCGAGTCGATCCTGGCCCTGTCCTGGGCTCACCTTCTACCTGGAAGTCAGTCAGCCAGAAAAACTGGAGGAGTCAGGTCCAATGTATCCCATAGTCAGGGATACGAGGACTCCAGACATGGCAGCCTGCTGCTGCTCAGCAAACCTGCACTCAAGGTCTCCACTGGGGGTCCTCTATAGCACTGGTCCAGAAATGATGAAACTGGCAAGGTCACCCCAAGGTCACAGCACAGAGGAAAACACTACTTCCAGCCAGCCAGAAACTCCAAGTGCAACCCAGAGCACATGATGCTAATGCTTCCCTACCTGGAGCTAGGCCTTTATCTGCCAGACTCAAAGAGGTATAAGGGAAGCCATAGAGGTCATAGGAAGAAAGGTCAAGGTCATGGGCTAATGCCGACTTCTGGATCCCACCAGGCTGCAACACAGAGGCACAGGCCAGAGGAGCCAAAAGCAGAAGGTGGGGCAACAAAGGCTGCCTAAAAGATAGCAGGGCCTTGAGACTCAGGCTTGTGATCATAAGGAGGCTGAGATCTGGAGGATCAAGGTTGAAGGTCCACCTGGGCAGAAAAGCCTACATTTTAAGACTACATTTCCAAAATAACCAACCACAAACCTGGCTAGAGGCAGAGCTCAAGTAGGAGAGCACCGGCCTTGAGAGAGAAAAGTCAAGCAAGCACAAGGTCCTGTGTTCAAGGACCTGATACTGGCAGGAAAAAAAGATAAAATAAATCAATAGATATAGATCGGGTGGTACTGTTCTACCCAAGTCCAGCCAGGTAGCACCCTCCTGTGCCCAGGGCCCTGGCCTATTTGAGTGGATACTCAACAGGGGACAGAGGCCCAGGCTGGCCTACAGGCTGGGCCACCGCGTTTGAGACCTGGTTTTGGCCCCACTTCCGTCGGTTTCCCGACCCCAGCATCTTACCAGGTAGCACTGTACCAGGGCAGTGCATTGACCTCACAGGAACTTGAAAGGCAATGTTTGCAACCTGTGCAGCTGCTGCTTTGTAAGCCACACAGCCCGGCCTCAGTGGACACCTGGCAAACAGCAGCAGTCCATCCACCGTGAGAGAGCCAGGAATGTGGCTGGCCCGCAGTACTTTCCACCAGCCTCCAGCCAACTTCTATCACTTGAAAAGCATCCAACCTGAAGGGTAAGCCATGAGCAGATTTCCTTCTCATGTGTGTGTTGGTACTGGAACTTGAACTCAAGGCTCTGCATTCACTCCCATTTGCTTGTTTGGCTGTTACTCCTACCACCTGAGCCATACTACCAACTTGGCTTTTTGCTGTTTTGTTGGTTTTTTTTTTTTAGGAGTCTGGCCTTGAACCACAATCCTCCAGGTCTCGGGTCTCCCAAATAGCTAGGATTGTAGGTGTGAGTCACAACACCTGGCTTCCTTTGTTCCTTACATCTTCCACACGCACCAACAACAAAGATGACCCACAGGCCACAGGGATGAGAGCAGTCATGAGCCATGAGGCTTCAGGAGGTGGCGGTTGGCTGTGGGCTCCATGCGGACCAGTCCCACAAGCAACAGGTTAGCTTGCTGTGGATGAAATCTTTTCCCCATCCCCACGATCTGCACTGGAACCCAGAACAACCAGACCGTCAATGTTCATTTTGAAAAATCAGCCCTGATGGCCCTAGCACCCCTCTGTTTTCTCCCCAATAACAGCTCAATTAAGAGGGGTACAGCTCCACAAAGAAACTAGGAAAAAAAAATGCAACCACAAAATGTCCCATAGGCCTGTGATGTTGATGGGTTTTTTTTTCCATAAAACTGATAATATTAAAAATACAAAGTTCAACTTTACAAAACAAGAACAATGCCAAAAAATGAAACAAGGAAACCACACACATACATAATTCTGTTAACAGGTAAAGCACATCTCACCGAAAATAGAGAACTGAGGCTTGGTCTCACACTGACGTAGTGGGAATACAATTGACAAGACAGTTAAGATCAGCAGTGCCTAGGCTGGGTGAGGTGGCTTGTCATCTCAGCTACTCGGGAGGCCGAGATTGGGAGGATTGAGGATTGAGGTGCAAGGCCAGCCCCAGCAAAAAAGTTGGCCAAACCTCACCTTTCCCACCCTGATCTCAATAAACAAGTTGGGCATGGTGGCTCACACCTGCCATCTCAGCAAAAATATATAAACTTATCTGAAAAATAGCTCTCTCAAAATGGCTTAAACCAAAAAATAAAATAAAAATTAAAAAAAAAAAAGGTTAGGGAGAAAGACAGAAAGACAGAAACATTTAGGAAAGGATGCATGGGTAGATATTCCATGTTTTATTTTAATACATCTCATTAGTTTTCATCCTGCTAGGAAAAAAAAAAAAATACCGTCACAAAGTCCCAACAGTTTAACAACAGCAGCCTCCTGTGTTATCGGCAAAAAAAAAACAACAAACAAAAAACAAAAAAACAAACAAAACAAAACAAAATCCTCCAAGAGATAATTAAAAAAATTTTTTTAAAAATGCTAGGCAGAGAGTAAAAAGGAAAGCTTATAATCACTTTATGGTGTAAAAAAAAATCCACTTAAGGCTCTCAGGAAGGCCCCGTGCTGACTCAAGCGAGGAAGTATGTTTTTTTTTGTTTTTTTTTTTGGGGGGAGGGCTCCCGGACAGCTCCCATATACTCCAATCCCTGTGTCCCCTCGAAGCCAGTGACCCCTGCAGTCCCGAGCTGGCCAGTGCCAAGGGCAGAGGGGAGCAGAAGCCAATCTGGGGGCAGCATTACCTCCATTCCTCAGGGCGGCCCTTTGCCGTTGTTGGCGTTAGCTAATTTGTTGGAGTCCGTGGTGTTTCTGTGTTTTGTGGTTTGGTGTTGGGTTTGGTGATTATTTTTTTCTCTTTTTCTGACAAGGAAGTGTCTTACTGTCCCACCCAAGTGCTACAATACTTCCTTTGATGTGACATCGAACAAATGGACACTGTCTCTTTGTTCTCCGGGGGATTCTTGAACACAGTTTTTTGTTTTGTTTTTTTTTTTTGTTGGTTTTTTTTTTTAGG